ATTAATTCAAGAACCTCTGATCTTTAATTTAATATAAAAAAAATACTCAGAAACTTTAGCTTTGTACCTGTCTAAGTAGATATAGTTATTGCCCAATCTCAACTAATTGTATTGGTTAATATTATTTAAAACATTTTCTCAATATTTAATTAACTGGTTAACAAAACAAAACAATTATATTACTGTTTTAAATGAGGTTGTCATGAAAATTTAAAGCAAAATAACGTTTATAAATCTTACAAGCATGAAATAAATTTGTATTTATAACTTTAATTAAATTAAAAACATTAAAATACATGTCCCAATTAAAACAGAATAATAGACATGCTATATTTTATGACATATATGACCACATACTTTTTTTCTGCCCCCACTAAGGAAAAATGCTTCAAAAATATCTTCTGGATCTTAGATGCAAATTTCAAGACACTGGTAAGTTATTGTTTACCTATACACCATAGACTGTTAATACTTGTACATAGTTTAGTGATATAATACTGTCATATTAAACTTAAAGAATGGTGAAAATCTTATATGAATCAAATATGACAATTCTTCCACTTAGCATTTCTGTGAATGAAGGAACAATGTAAAGCCTTCAAATGTTTAAATGCTGATTTCAACAAGTACCTTTTGGTATCAAACAGACTGGCCAAGATGATCATTAATTTTTAGAGAAAAATCCAGCCTTTATTCCAATCACCCTTTTTGTAAAATATTCAGGAAATTTCTGCCAAACCTTTAATTTAGACAGAGCATTCTAGAACAAAGCATTTCATTACTGAAAATTATAAAGAAAAAAAATACAGTCATACATTTTATTCCAACCACCTTGTTTATTTGAAACTCAATTTTATGTGTGTAAACAGTTTCATGTTTCTAGCTTTTACCTTAGACTGCTTTAAGATGCTTGTTTAAAAGACATTATCTTAGAATGTTATCTACTCTAGTTATTTATTTATATTTCTCTTGTTTTCTGAAATCATTTTTTTAAAATTTAATTTCTGTTTATTTCCTGTTTGAATTTGTCTTTCCTTTTCTGTTCTCTTTGAATGTTATTCCAAATTTTTCCTTTTTAAATGATGTCTTCAGTGACAAGTTCTTTTCCTTTTTTTTTATTGTGAAACCAATAAAAGAATTTCAGATAAAAATAATGTCTAAATGTAATGGAAAGAAAAAATACATGCATTACTTTAAGTGATGTTCTCATGAAGATTAGAATTAAATCAGATGCAAATTGATATTTCACATGTTGGCTGATAACACAATGTAAATTACTCAAAAATATCTCAATAATTAAAGCAATGATTTTAACCACTTCTTACATAAAAGAAATGTGATGAAAAAGAAAAAGCAATCATAAGAATCAAAATATTTGATTTGAATATTTTTTTCTTGGTTTCCATGAGAAGTGAATTTCTATTTCTTTGAGATCTTTAAGCTGGGAGTGAAAGCATTTCCAATTTTTTTTCTTGTTTGATATTCTTTTCTGAAGGATTTCTGCTTTGCAAAAACCTTTCTCTCAATAACTTTCTACACTAAGCTTTGGATATATTACCTAGAATAATACTTAAATCAATGCCAAGTCAATCCACATTTTATCTCAAAATTTATTCAAAGATTTCTGCTTTCAAAATTTTATAGTCATCATTATCACTCTCAAAATGAATATATTGCTTAACTATGATAATACCATTTTGTTTGGATTGGTTTGTTCTACAGGATATCAAACTTTTCCTGTTTATTTAATGCTGAATTGGCATTTTGATAAATAAGAGATAATTGTAGGTAGAGTGTATACAAAAGTAAAAAAGGTGGAAATAGGTCCAGTTATAAGAGTAAAAAAATGTTGACAGAAACCAGATTGACTTGAGAATCAAAAAGAAAAACATATGCAGTGACAACAGATGGCCCCTTTTTGAAGGGGGGTATCTCTGTAACTATTATGCCACTAAGCACTTACTACACACACACAAACACAACCCCACCAAAAAGGAATTCTGTCCCAAATTCTAGTATTTGTTCAGATTTTGAGAAATGGCTCAGGTTGTGAACTGTGAAGTCCTGTACACTCCAACTGTCAGGGGCCACTGTCTTCTCACACTAGGTGTTACTGCTGTAGTATTTGTAACAAGTATTTTTTTTTTCATAGGATGATGTTACTAGCCGATATCCAACCAGTTTTGAAATTAGACTTGTTCTTCTCCTAGACTTGTTGGCAGTCAAGGATTAAGAGACCAGTCTTTAACCTATATATATATATATATATATATATATATATATAGTGCACAGTGATTGCTCCATGTAAAACAACAGAGTTAAAATTTATACTATTAATAGATACACATTTTGTTCATTACCCTTTGGTACAACTGTGAGATTCATGCACGTGACAATCGTCAGGCACGGATTAAATATATATATATATAGAGAGAGAGAGAGATAGATAGAGCAACAGATGTTATAAATGTGTGTGTATATATATATCAAGATAAATATCCATATCATTTTAATTTTTTCTTAGTATCAATTCATCTTTACCTTATTATATTCTATATACTTTCTTCTCTTTTCATATTTAGTTCAGTTAGCTGGCCTAATCACTTTCTTATGAAGAAGTTAGCCTTCATATGATAGATTAATCAAGTTTTCAACTGAGGAGCTCATCCAGACAAAGATTTAGACAAGTATAATTTCTTTCTACTTATTCCAATTCCCAAACTAGATTATTAACCTCAATGAACAACTTAGCCATTTCATGTTCAGCATATGTAGATAATAATGACTAATGAAGACATACATTTTTAAAGTTTGCAAAAGTTAAAGAGTTGTTCTCTGTAGACAAATAGTTTTTCTTGCCTGAGTCCATCCTTCAAATCTATAAATCAACCATTCACTCTTTCATGGAATACTGCCGCCATATATGGTCTGGATCCCTTGCTGTATGTCTCAAGGTCCTCGACAAAATCCAGAGACAGATATGCAATGTGGTTGGTTCTGGTATCTCGTCTACAGTCACTTTCTCACGGACGTGCTGTTGCTTTTCAAGGTAACTGCTCTGAGGAGCTATTTTTGCTGGTTCCCAAACTGCATGAATTTAAGTGTATTACTAGCTTGGCATCTCAGTCCCACACTTTCACTGCCAAAACAATTAAATGTAGCTGTCTCTTCTACTCCAATAGCTTCATGTCTCACACTTCCTGTCTGTGGAACTCCGTTCCTCTTACTTGCTTCCCTGAAAGTTATAATCTTCAAATATTCAAATGTAATGTCTATCAACATCTTCTCTTGACATCTTCAGATGCCTTGATCTAATTCCCCATCCTTCCCCTTATTCTTTCTTCAGCCACATCTCTTTATTCTTGCTCCCACACTCTGTAAACCCTTGTGTTCCTAGATTGGGGTGAAAGGCTTTAAAAAAAAAAATAGATAAGTAAGAATATGGAAAAACATTTGCTACATAATGCTCGCTTTTTAGAGCAAAAGTGTGATATTTTACAAGTTTAGAATTTTGTTCTACTATCTAGCTATCATTTTTATCACAATCATTTTAGATAAAATGTTCTGATTTGAAGCAAAATCTAAGAAGAATAAACTGAAGAATATATGATAAATTCTTTCTTGTAATTCACTAAATTTAAGAATTTCTTTTGTTCATCTGCTCCCTCAAAAATTTCCAATATACTGCAGAATCATCTTATGCAAAGCTGACAAAAAAATGTAGAAATTATTTTTTTTCTTTTCATGCAAGTTTTTTTTCGACATTTTATTCAAATTTTTTTTGATTTGTATCAAAATTATATTTTGAGAATAGTAAAACTGAAATTTGTCTGAAATGCCTAAAACTAGTTCATTATTCTGATATTTACAATTTTTGTTAACATTACTGAGAGAGTTACAAATATATGGTGTGAAAGAATAGCCTGATCCAGGTAGACTGGTCTTGTAGAAAATTTAAATTTAGACTTCTGGCTGTTCATTAGAATCAAATTTTAAATTATATTTTATTCACCTTTTTGTGAAGTGCAGTCTATATTTCAGAAAGCAGTAAACATCTCAGTTACATTTATAAAAAAACAGATTTTATAAAGTTATTCCATACAAAAATCAAAATATGGAAAAAAACGGTCTAATATGAGCAGAGAATCAATATGATTTTCTCATAAGATAATGATTACAACAATCAATGCTTTGCCATGTCAGAATTTAAAAACATGTTTTGGGTATCTGTTAGTGAAAATGTATAGGTGTACGTTTCTGGAGAAATATTATTCAGAAATATAAATACACTATTTTTTTTTTAAGCTATGTTCATCACATAGAAATTAAACTCATTTTTTACTATTTTCCTTACTATGAACATTATTACTATAGAATGCTTTGAAAATATTTTCTTGTTTGTTCTTTTTTTGATGACTTTGTATTCATTTTGTCTATAAATATCATGCCGTGTATCATCTGGGTATGTTTATGATGTTTACTCTGCATGAATGCTCTTAGCAAAGGTATGAATTCACATCTCCTTCACACAAACGTTTTCATTAACAGATATCTTTATAAAATGTCTTAACACTGGCACACAATATGATGGAAAAGAGAGATGAAGAGTAATTACTTTAGTAAACCACTCTCCCAGTCATAGGAAACTTTTCATATTTTCTGTCCAACTGAAACCTAATTTATGCACATTAGCACTCAAATATAAATATAAAACTGGACACTTGTTTCTGATTATACCCTTGTACCAGTTGTTGTTGATTCATTTTCTACAGCTTATCAATGTTTTGCTTGTTATGTAAAACCAGAAAATATTTTTAGACTGTAAGAATTTTTTTGAGATAATAATGGTTTACTGATACAAGTCTTACTAATTAACCCATAGCTGTAGGGAGAAAAAGTGAAGTCAAACATTTCTCAAGTGTATTTGTGCATAAATGAATATAACAAACCAAACAGGAATTAGAACTTGGCTCTCTGATTAAGAATTCTGAATATTATCGCTTACAGCACCTGGTATTTCCAAGCAGTCACCCATCTAGGTACTGGCCAGGATTGACAATGCTTAACTTCAGTGGTCGTATGGAAATTGGTGTTTCAATGTAATGTAAGCCTCCTTTCTACTAGGGTGATGAGCTAACCCCTGTTGCAGTTACCTGTTCAGGTACATTTGTGTTTGCTCAATATCCACAAAGCCGATTTGCAACTATGCCGAGCAGATACCTTATTCACAGTTTTTGGGAGAGAGCATATAAACTAGTATTGTTAATCCTCAATGAATCAATTGCATCTGAAATAAGGTAATATTCCTGTTAGTCTGAATATTGACAAATAAACAATTGAACCATTTTTCATACGGCTGCCAGCATTTATAGAAGACACCACCTGGTGGTACTAAACAACAACCAAAAGGCAAGGGCAATAACTGCAACATTAAGTGGTGAGATCATAAGTTTGAACAAGGCCGGTATGCTCAAACCATCAGTCAAAGTAACTTGTGACTTTGTGTTAGCACAAACATTAATGGATTCTGAACAGTTTTATCTAAATGATTTCATTCATAAGACTTGGGTTAACCTGCAATTTTCAGACTTCTCTGTGGTGCCACATTCTGGAATAATTTCCTCAAACCAATATTATTAAGAAGTCAACTACTTGACAAATCAATTATGGTGATATGTAAACCCAGGTCTCATAGTTAGAATGCATAGATTCTAACCACTTGGCTATGTGCCCAATCTTCATATAGATAGATAGATGCATGCATGCATACAGTTCATGACAAATTCTTAGATCTCTATGAAAATTTTATTCTTTTCAAAACTTTCCTCATGTGCTTTTAAACAGTATAAGGAAATTTTTAACACAACATTGATGAAAATACTTGTTTTCTTTTTGGAAAGAGTAAATTTCTTTTTATTTGCACATTATTTCAAACAAAAAAAAAAAATACCCGAGTTAATATTATTAACCCTACCTCTAAGAATTTTCCTTTTGTTTAAGATATATCACAATTCACTGTTGTGTTTTATCCTACTAATGATTTAAGATTGTGACTTGAAGTTAACAGTGAGGTTTATCATACACACAGTATAAAAATTTAAGTGAGGGATTGAGCTGCCATTTGTGAAAGTATCATGTAAAAACAAAAGAAATTAGTTTAAACTTGAGAAAAAGAATTGTCGATTCAGAAAAAAACTGGAGAAGGATATGAAAAGTTATCAAAGCATTTCCAAGGGTCAAGAACTGGAGTGAGAAGTATTATCAAGAAGTTCAAACAAAGAGAGCCACATTACAGAACAAAACTAACAGCACTAGGAACAAAACGATTTCAAAGACTCTGGAAAGAAAACTAGTGACATATATATATATATGTTCTAGGGTCTTTAGATATATATATATATATATATATATATATATCTAAAGACCCTAGAACAAATACCAAGGTACAAGAGAGTAAATCAGCCAAATTTCGAAATGCCTCAAAGAAGTCAGTCACTATATTCTTGCACAGAAATGGACTGAAAGGTCAGAGACAAAGAAAATTTCTACTTCCACAGAAGAGACACCTCCTAGCCATATTGAAGTATGCTAAGAACAATCTGGAGAAAGATTATGCATATTGGAAATATGAAGTTGTAACTTAAATTCCATGGAAAATCTTTTGAGTGAACTTAAGACCAAGGACCATACCAGAAGACTATTAATTCTAGGGGAGCTTGAAATATTTATCAAAGAAGAATGGACTGAGATTCTGCAGATGTACTTAAAACTTGTTATAAACAAGTGTAGGTTGTTAATCAGCAAAAAGATGCCAAGTGAATCTTAGCATTGGTTTCGAGGGATATTAGAAGGTAATATTTCTGATCTTGGTATGTTTTGAGTTTTGCAAATAAATTTTTTTTTTTCTCTGTAAAGTAAAATACAATTACTTTTCAAAACAAAACAAATATATTAAGAACTGTTGCGTTAAAAATACTTTTCTCTGTTTAACAAGAGTTGGGAAATAAATTTAAAATAAATATTCAAATTTGGTGTCTAATAATCCTCAACTGTAGACAGATATCATAGACACATACATATATAGTGTAAATGTTAAATATTTTTTTATCTTGTGACAAGGATAACATCTAAAACTTATCACTAGTCACTTAAAATTAAGGCAGTTGCATATTTTACTTGTATTTGCAACTAAGAGTAGTGACTACCATTATCCCTCTTGACAAAATGTGCTGCAGAAATAACTCCCATATAAAACATTGGCTAGATGAAGCCACCATTAACACTAATGTCATACCATTATGTGGGAGGTATCTCTGCCACACCTTCTATAAAGAAAAAAAGAGATATGAATTTATTATATATATACTAGCAACATGGCCCGGCATTGCCCTAGCTTGATTCAAAAATCGTACGACTCATACAGCAATCACTATCACTTGACTTAAAATATTTTTGCCCTTCCTTGCCTTTAAAGGAGTGCCCTTTGCTGTGCTGATGTTGCTACATGCCTTACTTCTTGCCTATCTCACACTGCGAATTTTTTCGAAGCTCTATACTAAACATCAAATCTGTTACGAAAAAAGAACTAAACAAAATGAACACAAAATGATCAGCTTTAAAAAAGGACTCATAACTGGAAAAACTGAATGAAAAAAGAATGTTAACAACAAATACTTTTTCACACCCAACCCAGTTCTGTGGAATTAGAATCAACATTGAGTTTAAGCAAGGGAATGAACCAATTGGAGTAAAGTGCCATGCAGATTTAAATTTTTTCCACTTGTGACGAATGCAGCTATCAATTTTTTTTGCTTGCTAGCATGCTAGTTATCATTCGTGTCAGTCAGCTGTTGGCTCTCATGCTGGTCAATAGAATCTTCCTGCCTACTCGTGGCAGCCAGCTATTGGCTCTCACTCTGGCCAGTACAAAATGGCTGCAAACTACATGAAAACTGCCATAGAAGCATGAAAAAATCGATTATTTCCACTATCAATGGGAGTTGGGAAATGCAATGTTGGTCTTGGCCTTTCCACTAACTTGGAGCATGTGCATGTAAATTTTGGTGCAAATCTGTCGAAAATTGCAGCCATGCATTCATTACACACACACGCACATCCTGCCTTTTATAGATAGAGATAACATATAGCCAATATGTGTTGTGTATCAACTCATCATGCTTTGTACTCGGTGCAATTTTTAGTTAGTATATTTCTTCACTTAACTTTGTAATGTTTACTTAAAAGCAACAATTTGGTTTCTTTCATGTTTGTTTTCCTATATTCTTAATATTATGAGTTTACTTCCTGTTTTATATTTGCAAAACATGTTTATTTAAATATTTTTTTCTGGTCAATCTAATTATGTTGGTAATTACTTTTTTCAAATTTTCTTCAGCCCAGTTTTTTCTTTTTCTGATAAAGATGAAGCTTTCACTTTTCTTTTTCTCGGTTGTCATATGATCTTTATTTTACTTTATCACAGTTCCCAGCACTAAAGAACTTTACAATATTTTGTTTTTCTGTTGAAGTGATATCATTCTTATGACCCATGGCAAACTTTATTTTAAGAAAGTAAGAATAATAATGATTATATAACTGAAAAAGTATGTGAAACTGATGCAATGGAATAACCTGGCAACCCCATTGGTAACTACACTATAAGTAGTAAGTACCTATAAAGTCAACAGACTACAAGGAGACTTGCTGGGATCTGTTGATCATGACTTTGACTTACTCAAGAACTATTTGACCTTCCAAGCAACAGCACTCACTACTGGTTTTACAAAAACCTTTATTTAGTTATCCACCATGTTATTCCAGTGATATTCTTATTAGCATGGAATATAACAGAAACTTAGCAAAATCTTATGTTTCTTTTCAAGCTATCAAAACTTTACCAAAAAAAGCCTCCATAAATAACTACAATTATAATATTTGGTAAATCAAGAAAAGTACAAGTTAACCACATAAATCACTTGAATGTTTTGATTAACTGAATATTAATGCTGTTAATAGATTTTCTATGGCTTATCAACCATATGCAGTTTATTTAAAACCAGAAAATATTTTTAGATTGTAAAAATTTTTTTTTCTTTGTAGATAATAATGGTTTAACAATACAAGCCCCATTCAAGCAAATTGGCTGATTGATACCTAAAGTGATCATCAGAACATCTGAACACTGGTCTAATGAGTCAAGTACATGATTAGTATCGCATAAATAAGCTCAATATTATCTACTTCTATGCCAAACTAAATAAAACTATGTGACTTTTTTGGTAGCTGAGGCAGTTGTATACTTCTTTTCAATACCAGTGTAAAATTCACAGAAAAGCCATGATTTTAAAAAGCTGATTTTTAAGGCAGATGAGTAGGCCCTCACTCAGAGGAAAGATTTGGCCTAACATAATCTTCCAATCTCCATATAGATCTTTCCTCATTTATATCTAGATGTGTCTGTATAAATATGTGCATATACATCTATTTGTCTTAGCTTGTCTATGATTCAATGCTTGTAAGAAGAGATATCTCCAGAAGTTTGCTCATATATCCAATATGTATTTTTGTGTATGTATTTTCCTTCGATGGTGATTCATGTTTTGCTTACATTTATCACTTCCTTCATCATCACTTACAGTCAGAATAAAAGAAAAGAATATTTGACAATATGATGCCAATGATACCAAACGAAAATAAACCAAAAAAAAACAAAAAAAAAAAAACAAATTTCTTCTTTCTCGATTTCTTCTGTTTGAGCTTTTATATCATTGCTTACCATTTCTCTTTTGAATATCTATGAGCACACAATGACATTCACTTAGAGAAAACTATGTTCACCAGGAGCAGATAGAAATTCTAACAATATACCCATTAGTATCTATGGAAACAAGCAAATGGGGTGTATATACAAGTGGTGATTAAATTTTTAAATCATAAAGCCATTGATTGATAAAAAGTTATATTTACAAAGGTATTCTGGATATGAATAATAACATTCTTGTAAGAGTCATTAGTTTGAAATTGTATGTGAACAAAGAGGATGATTTAGAGAGAATGGAAGCAAAACAGACACATATACTTAACATGAGAAAGACAAAGT